TCCCTGTGACACAGGTCCAGCACTTCGGATCTGGGCCTCAAGAGTGGAATGGAAACTTTGCACACCGAAGGCAGCAAGCCTTTGTTCCCAGCAGCGTTGCCAGTAATCCGTTCCCTCTTCCTCACGGCAGCCCCAGCCGCACGGCCGTGCACGCCCACCTGGCTGGAAGCTCGCACCTGGGAGGACAGCCCACCCTGCTTCCGTTCCCCTCGTCGGCCGCCCTTGGCACTGCTGCCCCCGTGGCCCACCTCTTAGCCTCGCCGTGCACCTCGAGACCTGTGTTGCAGCACCCCACTTACAGTCTCTCCCACCCCAGCGGCATAGTTCGCCAAGTCCCGGTGGGCATAAACCCCCGGCTGTTGCCGTCCCCGACCATCCATCAGACTCAGTTCAAGCCCGTCTTCCCGCCCCACTCCTACATCGCAGCGTCCCCGGCGTATGCTGGGTTCCCACTGAGTCCGAGCAAGCCCGGCCAGTATCCATACATGTGACGGCTCTGAGACGTGTATCAAGGAAGCTCAGTGACACAGACGTTTGATTACAAATAAAAACATGGTATTTAATAAATGTTAGCCATGGCACAAGAAAATTATTTTTGAATCATGTAGACTTGGGTGCAATTTAAACAACTTTGAGCTTTAAAAAAACTCACTTTTAATGTGTTTTGCACATTTGGTATACTTGTCTTTGGTCATGTTATCTTCTTACGTAGTAACTCTAGACAGGTGACTTATGGGAGCGAAGTCCAGTTTTGCTCCTGCTATTTTTTATAAAATTGCCTTCTAACTAGTGCAAGACACGTCCACATTTGGGAAGCCATTCTGTGTACAGACTTAGAGCAGCAGATGCACACATGTCCGATTACCGCATTCAGTGAGTGTAGATCTGTGTCTCAGTACATGTCGGGTCACTTACTTAAGAAACCGAGCTGTTGTTCTCTACATTTGCATGTGTCTTTGCATGGGCAAAACATTGCCTAGACTTTGCTCTTAAATGTTGTGCTAATAATCTCAGCTGCATTGTAAACCGTTCCCACACATAGTGCCTTAATATTTGAGGTCGTTAATGTTATTACCTATACATAAATGTCGAGGACTGCAGCACTTATGACTCAGACCTACTCTTTACTTTTCTCTCGATAGAGTAATGTTCCTTTTGGTTTTGTGTGGTATGATTTCAGGTAGTAGCTGGTTTTCCTTTTTAAAAGGGCAGCATGTTTGCTATAGCTGAATTCTGCTGTCTGATTTTTCAGAATGATCTAGCTTCAAGAAAAGCAGTTAGTAGTGCTTAAGAAAAATTGATTCAGTATCTAATGGATAGTTGATAAACTGGCACAGCATTTTATATACTGTTAAGTGAAACTGCAGTACAATCTAAGTTTATTTGGGAGTGTTTGCTGTATAATTGGACTTGATACAATGTTTAGCGGCGCTGTAGGCATGACCTTTGAGTAGATAATGCAAGAAGATGCAAAACGCTCATTGATTCATGATGTGGTTTCATCTTAGCTTGGGCAAACCATGCAGTATTTAATAAATAGTAGCAGAATATTTACTATATTGAAGCTTGAAAAGATGTGAGTTCTTTGTGTGCAATTTTTCATTTATGCATGTGAGAGGGTTTTCTCCCCCCCCCAAGTATTTTTTATATTGTAGTACTTGTTTTGCTTGTTGGTGGTATTTGCTTATTTAATACATTCCGTCAGGGACAGAAATTACATGCTTTTTTTCTAGGAAGTGTGTCTTGGATTCCCCCCTCTCCTCCCCCTTTTTTTTTTTGGTGGTGGTGGTGATGTTTAAATGAAGTTGCTTTTACAGCACCAAAGACTTAATCATCCATTTCTTATATAAAAGGTAGCTACTTTTTGCATAGACCTCAAGTATATTGTTAGTGTAGAGGTGGAAGTAAGGAAAGGTATTGAACTGAGGCTGTGTTCTAGCTTACAGGCAAGTAATCAGTTGTATCATTTATCTTGAATGTATCATAGATAAGCTGCTATATAATGATTGCCACTTCAGATAGCTGTGAAAATAGGTGATTAACTAGTTGTTATTTAGCCTTCTGATTTCTGTATAAGTCTAATTACATGAAATAGAAGTTGGGGCTTTGGTTTTTTACTTTGCTTTTCTTTTGGAGTGTCATTGTAACTACTGTATTGTAAATGATGGAAAATAATTGCGTATGTTATTTTGGGGTGTGTTATTTGCGTCAGTATTTTATCTCTATTAATGTTTGTGCTCATCACTGCATATAAACTTGGATGTATCAATGTAACTTAATTTTTTTATTCTCATACTGGCATTGCAGAACTTGAGAAAGCTGTATCTTGCAGGCTTGGCTTACCTTTTTTCCTTACAAATCTGGAATATAACCTTACAGCATTTACTGGAATAACAGTACAAAGCATTTAAGTGTAGAACTGTCCAGACATCTGCATTTACAGTGTTTCTTTGATCAACAACTCGCCCACCACTAGTACAGCCTTGACAGTAAGCTAACAATGGGTAGACTTGTCTTTACTCCATTAATGGAAGCAGTGTTTTATTTAATAATCATCAGTGAAATAAATGTGCCTGAAATTGATTTTAAAAATTACAGTATTAGATCATAAAATAAAAACCAGCAGTACATTTTTAGTCACACTGAAAATGAAGGACTTAATTTTCCCCACAGGTTTCAGTGTTTTTAGTAATTGATTCTATGCATTTTATATTAAGAGAAATATATGTATATATAATACGCATAAGAAAGGAGTAGCCTAAGATTAATTTAAAAGATGATTTACAGATGACAGATTTATGGAGTCACTATTTAAGTACACTTGCTGCCCTCCACAGCCTCTGCGTTTTACTGATAGGGTCCAGAAGGTGACTGGTACCTGCTCCCTTGGAAAAGGATCAGTGTTGGCGCGGGTGTTTCAGAGCCACCAGGTGCAGAGGACCGACAGTACAAGCAGGCCAAGACCGGCGCGCTGCCCTTGCTCGAGCCTTCTCTCTACTCTGGAGCTTCGTGTTTTCTAAGTTCCCAGGCTGAGGAAGTCTTAGCTGGTGGACTTAGTGGTCCATTTCAGCATTTTCATAATATAATTGTAATGTTTGATAAAGGCATCTCCCAGTTCCATATACTGGTTTTAATTCACTACAATCATGGGCCTTTTAGTGTGTTTAAAAATGTTAAATTTCCAAGTTCTGCTAACGTCTAAATTTAGCATATTCATGAAATAATTTGGATTTGTACTTCTCTTTAAAACCATTTTTACCAGTTTTGTTTTAATGCTTTTTTAAATAAAACACTGCATGATTTCCAAGTTGCATATTTGCATATTGTAACTCGCAAATTATTTTTTATGAAATTCTTTGATATTTAGTCATTCTTTTTTCCTTCAGGGTGTTTAATTAAATTTCACTGCATTAGAGAATCTTTTTATTTTTAAAATCTCTACTTCTAGTTTTAAACTTGCTTTGTGTTAAGTAAAAGTTAAATCATACACTGCAAGGTGTAGGAAGATTTGTTTTAATGAACCCAATGATAGCAACTTGATTACTAAGTTTGCGCTGTTGACTGTCTAACAAGTTTAGACTTGTGGCTTTCTTTCTTTGGTTTGTTTTGCTTTTATTCATGCTACACTAGTTTGCCATGTAGCAATTGCACTGTGCAATATTACAATAAGGACTGGGAAAATTTTTATGGATGTAATGTCTATTTCGGTTTGCGGTAGCGTTTCTCTCTAGTTCTCAGTGATTTAAATGTGGCCACGCCTCTGTACTTGGTCACACAAAGCGGGTTTTCCAGGTGACTATTTTGGTGAGTGTCAAAGTAAGAATTTATGGTGTATTACTGTTGATTCACTTTGAATTAAAATATATATATTGCAGCAAACAGCTTGTTGACTTTTTTTTCCACCCCAGTTCTGCTTCCAGGCTGAGGAAGGGAAAGGCTCCCAAACTCCACCGTCCCCTTTAACGCCCAGCCCAGACAGGGGCTGTGTCATCTCTGCTACCAAATGAAGTCCAGGCGTAAGGTGTCGAGGCAGCTCCCACAGCCACCCAGCCAGGAGTGTAGTCAGCTGTGAGCAGCCCAGCTGCCTGGCCGCAACTGGCCCATCCCACCCGTACTTCTGCAGTGGCCATGGCCCACCTCCTTGAGTATTAAGTTTTCTCAGTTACTTTTTGAGAGGAACATTTTTCACTATGTATGACACATATAGAATAGGGAACACGTATGAAGTTTCAGATATGAAACTTGACCGTGACTGTTGGATCATAGTAGGCCAATTGAAGTTAAGTCCTCAAGTACCACCTCAGACGTGAAGGATCGAACTTTGGAGGAATACCAGTAGGGAAGTGCTTGAGGAGCTTCACACTGGAACGCTCCAGCGAGAGTATGTATTTTTAATCTCTCTCTATATATGCTTTTGGGGTAGTTTTTGCTATGGGGGAGGGGGAGAGAAAGTAAGAAATGATTGCCCCCCAGGGGGTGGTCATCGCAGTCCCTTCTCCATTCTTCTCTTGGGGTTTTGGGCAAGTGCACACATGTACTTGGTGTGATTCTCAAACCAGTGGGCCCAGGACTTGAACCACGGAGCTGGTCCTGTGGGGTACAGCAGCCTTAACCTCTGGTACCTGCTGACCCCTCTCAGCGCACTTTCCATCAGGGTATAACATACATGCACTGGTGTCCGACTCCCAGGGTCGTGTCTGCAAGGACGCTCGCGTCGTGCAGGTCAGTGCTACACGGTATCCATGTTGCATGCGCCGCAGGTCCCCGGCTGACGCACGTTGGGATCTGCGCCATGTCGGGGCTGCTGGGATAGGCTGCGGTGAGCGTTTCCTTCTGCACCTTTGGATGAATGTGCGTGCATGTCCCCTGGGCACGCTGGTGGGTGTGCTGTCTCCCTGTGCTAGACGCTACCAGATGCCGTTCCACAGGGTCGGTAGGTAGCTGTCACGTCCCACCAGTGTAGGTGGGTTCTAGTTGCCTCATGGCTTCACTAACACAGTCTTTTGTTTTTTTCTTTTGTTTTCGTCCCGTTTGTGTGGAGGGTGAATTGTTCACAAGGTGGACATGGGCCTGTAGGCCGAAGCGCTGATGAGCCCACAGGTAGGTGAGGTACAGTCTTGGTTTACTGCCAGGGAAATGGCCCCTTGGGATACTCCAGCCACGTAAATGATTCTAGGATGTAAAAAGAGAATTTTCTAAAGGGAGGGAGCCGAAGGCAAAGAAGACATTAAAGCATTCTGCCAGTAGGGGCTGACGTATCCCGGGCATGGGGTGTGCACGGCTCCCCGCCCAGCTGCAGCTCTGCCGTGCTCCAGGCACCACACTGGGGGCACCAGGGACAGCACGGGTGTCCTGCTCCTGCTGCCCCTGTTGCAAGAAGAGAGTGGCGGTACCATTGCTCGAGGGCCTCCAGGAGAAGGGGGCGAGAGCGCCAGTGCACCGTGGAGGTTCCAGGCCCATGTCTGGACACCTCCCTGAGTCTGCCAGGTCCTGTAACCCGGAGTAGGCAGGGGTGGGGTATGGGTCCTGGCACTGGGACCCTTCGGGGGTGCTTGCCGGATCTCTCTCTCCCCCCTCATGTCTCTCTGTTTTGGTCAAGGAAGAAATACACGAGTACACTTGAAATCCAACAGATGGAGCAGGAAGTACAGAAATCCGAAATATTCCAAAATGCAACTTTCTGAGTGCTAACCTGATGCCACCGTGAAATGTTCTACACCTGACCTTACATGAGGTTGTGACACAAGGAGTGAGCTTTTCCTTTTTAACTTTTTTTTGAGTGAGAGCTAAGACAGAGACACCTGGGCCTCCCAGGTGGCCTTCAGCCTCCCAAGTAGTGGTGCTACCTGTGTGCCACCCTGGCCAGCCCAGAAAGTGAGCGAGAAAGGCAATGGCTGGTGTACCTGGAGCACGGCATGTGTGTGGGTGACAGGAGACAGAAAATCCACCTGGGGGACGTGTAGGCTTTCTGCCCAAGGGGGGACTGCATATGTGCCTCTGTACCTGTGGGCAGCCGTGGGGGGACTCCAGGCCGGCGAGCACCACAAGCCCGTGTGTGCGTGAAAGGTTGGTTGACTGTCACGTGGAGAACCGGTTATGGGGCCCTTGTGGAAGGTGAGGAACAGGCAGGAGGGTGCGTGGCTCGAGTGAGGGACAAGTACCAATCCTGTTACGAGGTTGTATTACGGATATTTTCTCCTAGTTTGTGACTTGTCCTTTTATTTTCATTTATTTATTTTTTAAGTTTTATTTTTTCCATCAGCGAGAGAGACAGGTACCCCTGATCAGGTTTTCATGCCATGATCTTCCCAGAGCATCAGCCTCCCTGGCTCTGGGCATGCACGCACCTTCCCCATGGCCAGCCTCCCAGAGCAGGCCTTCCTGCCATGCCACTGTCGGGCCTGTTTTCTAACAGCACATTTGAAAGAGCAAACGCTTTCAATTTTGATGAAGGCAACTTCTCCGTATGTTGTTTTATTAAGTGCTTTTTGTGTCCAGAGACATTTTTGCAATTGGCAAAGTTGCAGATTTTCTCCTGTTTTCTTCTAGAAAGAAGTTTTAGTTTTAGCTTTTACTAAGTCTGTGATTCATTTCATGTTAATTTGTGTGTCCACCTTTTATCTGAATGGCCTTAATTTTGTCTTGTTGAGAACCAGTACTTATGCCTCTTTAGAAGCATGGTTATTCGAAATGAGAAATAACGTGTTGATTTTTTATTTGATTTCACTCTGTACAGAAAGTACAGGTTGAGCATCCTTAATCAGGAAATCAGAAATCCAGAATATTCCAAACTCTGACTTTCTGAGTACCAACGTGATGCTCCGTGAAATACCCGCACTCGACCTTATGCGCGATCGAGCCTTCAGGCCCTGGTATAAGCTGTAACTGACTCATAAATGACACCGTGTCATGTGCGTGCAAACGCTCCCAACTCCGAGAGCCCGGACTTGGAGTACTCAAGGGCTCCATAAGGGATTACCGACATCCTCAGGAAATTCAGAAACACAGGTTTTAAAAAACCCACAGAAAATGTGAATGAATTTCAGCTAGTAACATCCATGCAAGCAATGTTAGACCCTGGTATTTTCTACTTCAGTTTCCTATATAAGCATTTTGCATACTTTAGAAACATTCAAAAGCCAACATGGAAAATTTAAAAATGGCCAACTTTATTCTAATCATTGCATTTCCTGGTTGTGGAGAATCTAGAGAACTCACTTTTATCTTTTCCCCTCACTTTATTTATTTATTTTTAATTTATTTATTCATTTATTTTACTTTAATTTGACTAGAGAGAGGGAGAGAGAGAAAGCAAGCCACCAGATCCAGGACTCAAACCGTGGTCAGCCACATGGGAGTGTCCAGCACCTTAACCACCACGCCACCTGCTGGTCCCACACTTTGTTTATTTTTAACATACAGTCTCTACATACCTTTAACCTATTGCCTATCTTACAACACAGCAAAGCAAAACAGGCTGGCTCTGTGGCTAGCAGTCCTGTGCTGCTGCTCGGGGTAGCCCAGCCCACACGGCTGCCATGGTTCAGATCCCTACTGGCAGTGCCCAAGTTCCAGTGGGGCGGGCTGCAGGAAGCAGGTGGGCTGCAGGAAGCAGGTCGCAGGGTAGCCGGGCCTGTGAGGATCTCTCTTTCTCTCTCTGTCTTGTGCTCTATCATGAATAAAGGAAGAAAGAAAAAAATACAAAATTAACACAATGAACACAGATAACCTTCACCCAATTTATCAGTTGGCATTTGCCTCACTAAGTGTTTACATGTAGTTTTGTTAATTGAGCCATTTGCTGGTAATCACACTTTGTCCCCAAATCCTTCCGCTCGTATCTGTACGATCAATGATTTTAACCCACAAAACCTTGTAACATCTAGGCGAGTGAACACTCCCGTAGCATGCGTCTATTTTTTAGTTCATGGTCACAATTTCCCAGTTGAAGAATTTCTTTTATAGCTATTCTCCCCACCCCAGAAGCCACTCAAGATCCCCTCTTACATCTGGTCATGGCATGTCTCTCTGACTTCTTTTAATTCAGAGCAGTCCCTCATGCTGTGTGTGTGTGTGTGTGTGTGTGTGTGTGTGTGTGTGTAATTATTTTATTTAACTTTATTTTAATTTGACCAGATTGGGGTGGAAGAGAGAGAATGAGAAAGCATGCCACTGGGTACGGGCTTGAACTACAGTCGGCCATATGGGAGTCCAGCCCCCTAACCACCATGCCACCTGCCAGCCCCACCCCACCCCCTTTTTCAAATTTGCTATAGAGTTGTGCTTGTATGTGATCTGGAAT